CGGCAGCGCAGCGGCACTGACGATAATAATGGAGATATGCATGCACTCCGTCATCATTCTCTGGTAAAGAGCGCAGTTTTGGGGGAATGGAAAAGGGAATGGAACACCAGAGGAACGGCAGAAGTGGACAAAATTGAATGAAGAGTCCTCAGATGTACTCAATAAGAAAGAGCTAATGGCGGGCAGGCCACCCGCTGGACGCTCTGTGCACCGCATCAAACTCATCCCTGGCTCAGCCCCAAGCTTCGTTCCAAGGTACAGACGAGCTCCACACCTTGAGGAGGAAAGTGAGCGGCAGGCAGACGAACTTCTGAAAAGGGGCAAGGTTCAGCCGTCGCCTAGCGTCTTTGGGCACAATCCCGTGCTGGCGAAGAAAAAGGACGGTAGGTGGCGTATGGGCATCGACTTCAAGCCCCTCAACAAGATTACAGCAAAGCAGAAGCTTCCGATGCCCACGGTGGAGGAAATCCTTGACCGCTTACAGGGTTCGGCGGTATACTCAGCAGTTGAGTTCGTCCCCCCCATTCACCCGGAGGACAGACACAAGACGGCGTTCCACACCCGCAGTCGCAAGCCGGAGTACACTTGCATGCCCTTTCGCCTCGTTAATGCACCTGCCAAACTGCAGGGGCCACAATCGCCGAGGGATGGATGGTGATATACATGGATGATGTGCTTGTGTTCAGCCGAAATGTGCAGGAGCAGCTGCAGCACCTCGGGCGGGCGCTGCAACTAATACGTGAGAAGCAGTGGTTTGTGCAAGCGCAGTTCGCCACACCATGGGTTGGACCGTTTGCGGTCCGCTCTCGGGTCAACGCGTTGGCGTACATCATCGATTTACCCTCAACGTGGAGATGCCACCACAGTATTAACGTTGGTTTCCTAAAACAGTTTCGGGAATAAACGCAGTTCGCTCGCACTCTAGCGAGGAAACCGCCGGGATTCCCAAAACTGTTTTTCAACGACCCCGCGGGCTTCTCCGCCTCGAGGACACAGATATTCTCGAAACGCGGATTAACGTCAGCCGAGGCCATGGGCGGGCGTTAATCCGCGCCTCGATAATCAAACTACATCAAATGGCCAGGCCCACGTGATCCTGAGTGGGTTTCGGAGGATCGCGTAGGAGGACCGATCCTCCAGAACAGCTACGTGCCCTACTTGACCTTGCACCACCTACACCTAGTGTATGCATGCAGGCAGGTCGCGGAAGTGGGCAACGGGTGGATAGATATTAGCGGACCCCTTGTCAGCGCCCTGCGAATTTTTCTATTTTACTACCCCGATTCCGCTGGAGGCTAACTACGGTGCCTCCCTATTTGTCTCTTTCCTCCCGCACACTGCGAGCTAGGTCGCGGGGGGGCACAAACGACCAGCTGTACCTTTGCCTACTGGGGCTGGGTACCACCTTTAGGGCTTTGTTGCGGCTTTCGCCGGAGCCCCTGTCGGCAGCGACCCGGCGCGGTGGGGCGGGAGGCAGTAACTGAAATTCAACCAAACGACTCGTAAACAAAGCAGTACTCATCGGAAAACAGCTGCTTTCCTGCTTCACGTCCAAGCGGCGGCACTGTGAGCTGCGTCAGGCGCCACTGCGGCTAGCCAGGCGCTGAGGAAAGGGTCGGGCAGCCATCGCAGCAGTTTTGCTCTGCTGGATCGATCATTCCTATTTTGCTGCTCTTACTTCCACCACACTCT